CTCAGTTATTTTCACTATGCTTATGACCTTGGGTGACTCATTTAAATGCTTTGTATCACTGTCCCTTATTTTAAAAATGAAGGGGGTTGGATAGATGATTTCTAAGATCCCTTAAAGGTCTAATTCTATGATCTCAAGATTGGATGTGAAGAGTGGTACATAAATGTCGGAACCTAATCACCCAATATATAGAAGGCTAGGTATAGTCAAGTAGACAAAGAAAGACCCATCCAACCTAGGCAATCACTATTCTGATTGCCTATTACAATTATGATGGAAGCTTCCTTCATTTCCTATGTCCCAGCCTTTTCTTCTATACTAGCACTTTGCTCTGCAGTTTTCCTATACCACATTCAAATTGGTGTTAATCCAAACCAGTTTACTGTATGAGTGACCTAAGAGACTTTAAAAGCATTTTGTAAGCACTACAATTTTTAGTAATTTTTAACAGACATCAACAGAGATCCAGGTGTGAGCAAGGAGATAGGAAAAATCCTATGTAAATAAATGATTTCTGCCTAGAATTAGATATTGGCTTTTATTAAAAATGTAAATAATAATTAAAGGGAACATTTCAGGATTCTGCCAACCCACAATTCCTAAGGAAAAGACTACAATGGGAAACTGTTAACTAAACTGTTTGGCAGAAACTTTGTTAAAGTATATCAAGGATGCTTATTTTAAGACACGTTTCATAAGTACTTAATACAGGCTTCTAGTTGATTTAATATATCCTATGCATTTGCAGGTGACCTTTCACTGAAGTACATCATGAGATGAGCCTTGCAAAGAAAGGGATATATATATATATATAAAATTGTTTTTTATGTGTGTGTGTATATATATATATATATATATATATATATATACACACACACACACACACACATATGTACGTATACACATATATATTTTCTCCCTCCCTGTGGCAGTTTTACAATATGATAAGCAGATACTTAGAAAAACAACAAACCAAACCATAATAAGTGATTTTCAGACACCCAGGAGAAGTTTCATAGTATATATGCAAAACTTTTGTCTTTGAAGCGTCTGTAGCCTAAGTCACTGAAAAGTACTAAAGGTCATATGTGTGAATTCACTAGTGACTGTTTACACAAAACACCTAGTGTTTTATGGGTTTGTTCACTCACCTTACAGGAAATCCTATTTCATCATCATTTCCTTCCACTGTTCCTCATTATAAGAGGAACTTTTAAAAAATTGCCAGTGGTTCCTCTCTACCTATATGAGTTAGGGTGTGGATATCTTTTATACATATATCTTTTGAATTTTTAAAGTGACAGGCTAATCTCATTCTTCAATGTCACCACTGTGCTGAGAAAGTGTGTCCTAAGTTCTATATATTTTCATTCTACTTTCCCACACACGGGATGGAAGTGGTCACCAATCTATTATCTTGCACATGAGGAAAAGACAATTCACTGAGGAACAGGTAGATTCACCTGGTCCCTTGTTCACTATTTTTTCAGTACTACCCTTCTTTGCTAATTCTTCAGGAAGCGCTGCACAAATGTGACCACTAGATGTCATCATGTAGCCCAAGGTAGGCTGGCAGATGGGTAACTTGCTCCTTAATCTTCTCTCCTTTCCAGAGAAAGGAATGGAGGAAAGGTCCTTATGAAGACCTTTATTTATCACACCAACTCTACTTACTGGGCAGGCTCAGAAGTGAGATTTTCTTCTTTAGTACCTCCTTCTTATCTTCCTCCCATTTCACTGGTCTGGAGATAGGAAGAGGCTTAGCCTCAGGTAGAGGCATGGGCTCAAGGAGCCACAGTCTCCAGGTAAGCCACACCCACACAGGCAAAGGCAGGGATTTTTAACCTTTTTTTGACTTATAGACCCCGTCCGAAGTCTGCTAGAGCATAAGGAGCTCTCCTCACAATAATGTCTTAAAATGAACAAAATTAAATAATAGAATAATGAAAAAAAAATTATATTAAAAATGGTTACTACACACACACAGACACACACATATGTGTATATATATGTATATGTGTGTGTGTGTGTGTGTATATATATATGTATATATATATATATAAAATACATAAAAGTTTAAGGTTTCCAGGTTTATGGGAAAGCTAAATTACTCCCAAGTTCAAGTTTTATGGTTTTTCTTGTTGGGAGAATTATTGAGTCATTTATAAACTATCCTATAGCTCAATAGCCCTACCCACCCCAGGGGTGGGGAAGGTTGTTAAAACCTCCAAGATAAAACTGGAGAATCCCGCTTTAAATAATTTTTGAGATATTCCAAAGGTGAAATCAGCAGGCCTTGGTAACAGCTCAGCTATGGGGGTGAGAGATAGTGAGGAGTCCAGTATCATTCCCAAGATGTAAACCTGAGGGATTGGAGGATGGTGTTGCCCTCTACAATAACAAAGAAGGTAGAAAGGGAGTAGAGTTTGGAGGGAAAGATAATGAGTTCTGTTTTGGACATACTGAGTTTAAGATGTCTGTTGGACATCTAGTTCCAGATGTCTGAAAGGCAGTTGGAGATGTGAGACTGGAGGTTAGCAGAAGGTATGGGGCAGGCTAGGTAGACTGGAAAATCATCAGCATAGATTAAATCTGTGGGGGCTGATGAGATCACCCGTGAATGAGCATAGAGGGAGAAAAGAAGAGCATCCAGGACCAAACCCAGAGGGACACCTGTGGTTTAGACTTTAGAGGATGGATCTAGAAGAGGTTCCATCTAAGGAGACAGAGAAGTAGTAGTCAGTAGGCAAAACAGGAGAGAGAGTTTTCTTAAAAACTTAGAAGAGAGTACCAAGGAGTTGAGGATGATCAACAGTGTCAAAGTTTGCGGGTATAGTAAACCATTGCTAAGCTCTGTGTGTGTGTGTGTGTGTGTGTGTGTGTGTGTGTGTGTGTGTGTGTGTGTGATTGTTCATAGGAAGAACTGAGAGGGCTAATAGGGGATTCCCAAAGGGAAGAAAGAGATTTTTTAAAATTGCATTATTTTTCCAGAGCATGATCTCTGTTAGGGGACTCAGAGCTATTTATTCATTTTTGCAACTTCCCAAGACAGAGAGAAAGGTGCAGAATAATGCACCTTGAAGAAAGGTGAAGGAGAATGAGAATAGAGAAAAGTTCATTGGATTTGGCAACTAAGAGATCATTAGTAACTTTGTAGAGAGCAGTTTTGGTGAAATGATAAGGTTAGAAGTCAAGTTGTAAGGGGTTAAGAAGAGACTAAGAGGAGAGACAGTGCAAGAACCTGTTGTAAATGGACTTTTCAAGGAGTTTGGCTATAAAGAGGAGGGAGGGAGGAGAGGAAAGAGAGAGGAGAGAGAGAGAGAGAGAGAGAGAGAGAGAGAGAGAGAGAGAGAGAGAGAGAGAGAGAGAGAGAGAAGGATTAAGGAAGGGTTTCCCCCCCCCCCAGGATAAAAGGAGACATGGGCATGTTTGTAGGCAGTAGAAAATGAGCCACTAGAGGGGCAGCTAGGTGGCACAGTGGATAGAGCACCAGCTGTGAAGTCAGGAGGACCTGAGTTCAAATCCAGCCTCAGACCAAACACTCAACACTTACTAGCTGTGTGACCCTGGGCAAGTCACTTAACCCCAATTGCCTAAAAAACCCCAAAAAACAACAACAAAAAACACAAAAGTGAGCCACTAGAGAGGGAAAGATTGAGAACATGAAAGAGTAGTGATGACGGGGAGAGAGGGGGGCAATCTGTTGGAGGAGACAGGATGAAATGGGATCACTTGAACAAGTACTTAGTTGGAAGTGATCTTGAAGATGAAACCTAGTTCTAATTGCTCCTAGGCCAGGGCTCTTTCCTTTACACAGATTATCCTGCCTTTAGCTTGTGTTTTGCTAGGCAAAACCCTGTAAATTTGCGAAGTTCTTTCTCTCAGATCTAATAAGACCTTGTTTTTGAAGACTACATCTGTGAGATTACTTTCTTGAGAAGCTCTTATAACAACCACTGGGGACAGTCTCCAAACATGTCACCATGGCACTCAGAAGATTTGTAATAGCTTAATTTTCTTTGAGAGGAAAGAGAACGAATAATTAGCATATAGCCAAGCTTCCACAATGCCTTTGAATTAGAGTCACTATGGGCACAATTGTTCACAACCAGTAATAATTTAGTCACTTGGGGTTGATGTCTAAGGCAGTAAACCATGGCAAATTGATTCATTTGCTCCTGGGTCTGCCTCTCTGGGTTGTGACATCAGTACATTCTCTTCGCTGACAACAGCCTTTATTCAACTCTATCTAATTTACCTAGTGGTGGCCCCTTGCATCTTGTAGCAATTGATGACTGGGAATGGGATGGTTCAGATCTGGGCTTACATGATTCTCTAGCTCTTCAATTTCTCCTTCAGTTGTATGCTAAGCTAATGAGCAGCCAGGCAGTTGTCAGTAATTCTTCCAATATTTTGTGGGCCAAGTTGTTCCTCCTCTTGAGGGGTGTGACTTTCTAGCCACTCTTTTAATATTTCCCCTTTGGGGAAGGGCTTTCAATCTAGACCCACAAAAAAATGGTGGGTGACCATTTTAATGCCAGCTCAGGTTGCTGCTGTCCTAGCCACTGATGCTGACTCATTAGACTAGAAAAAACTTGAGTAAAAGTATTCTCTTTGTCTTGGGAAGTTGCAAAAATGGATAAATAACTTTCTCTAATAGCTCTGAGTCCCCTAACAGAGATCATGCTCTGGAAACACACTGCAGTTTAAAAAATCTCTCTTTCTTCCTTTTGGGAATCCCCTGTTAGCTATCTCAGTTCTTCCTATGAACAATCACACACACACAGAGAATTTAGCAATGGTTTACTATACTAGCCAATAAAAGACAAAATAAATGTTTAATACAAAATGAAAAATCAAAATTTTAAGGAATGGATATGCCTCCTGAATCCCATAGTCTCAAATCCTCTCAAAAGAGACATAGGGAAAGGAGAGAAGAGATTGCATTTGTCTGCTACCCAAACAGATGTCAGCAATAAAGGATCTACCCATACCACTGTGGATCTGGAGTCCAATGCTGGTGACCTCATGGTTGCAGCCCTTCTTAACTTCAATGAGGTTGTTCTTCTGCTGCTCCTATCTTTCCCAGCTAGGCTGGCCTTTTCTTTTCCTAAAAGTACAACAGATAGATGGATTGGCTTATGAGTCAGAATCAGCCCCCCTCCAGTAGTCTCAACATCAAGGCAAAGCTCCCCAGAAGTAGAAGAGGGGGAGGAGGTTGGGAAATTTCTGCCGCAAACCAGCAGGCATATATTCCTAGCATCCTGATCTCCTTGTTAACACCTTGAGGAGGTATGTACAAGATAGCATGACAATGTATTTCCACAAACATTTACTAATCACCTAGAATGTGTAAGATACCATTCCTTGTTAAAGATAGAAAGATAAATACAAAATAATCACTGTTCTCAAGTAGTTTGCAATCTAACAGAAGAGGCAAAAGCATTCACACAAATAATGATTGTAAAAGCAAGCATGAAAGAAGCACAAAGTGCTCTTAGAAATTTGAGTAGGTTGAGAAAGATCACATTTTGGGTGCTGTAGGAAGGTAGTGAGGGCAAGTAGGTGGTGCAGTGGATAGAGTACTGGGCCTAGAGTCAGGAAGACTCCTCTTCCAGAGTTCAAATTCAGTCTTAGACACTTATTAGCTGCTCTGTGACCCTGGGCAAGTCACTTAACCCTGTTTGCCTCAGTTTCCTCATCTAAAAAATGAGCTGGAGAAGGAAATGGCAAACCACTTCAGTATCTTTGCCAAGAAAACCCCTAAAGGGTTATGAAGAGTCAGACACAACTGAAAAAACGACTAAACAAAATAAAAAGGAAGGTTGTCACAGAAAGTTTCATGAACAATACAGCACCTGAAGTGGGCCTTGAAGGAAAGAAAGTGATTTAAAAGAGGGAGGTTGAGGGAAACTGAAATCCATTTCAGGAATGAAAATAGAAAAGGGCAAGATGTGAAATGGAGTTAGAAAGTTGTTTAATTTGGCCAGTCACAGAATCAAAGCATCTACGATTTGGAAGGAAGCTCCAAAGCCATGTCATTGAGTGCATTACTGAATGAGAATGCCTCCACAAATTACCTGAAGAGTCTCTGCTGGAAGACCTCCAGTGAGGAGAATTACCTCCTAAGCATTCTATTCCAGTTTTGAATAGGTCTAATCAAGGGTGTGCTGGTCAATGTTTAACAACTGGCTACCTGGGGAAAAAATGTATTAACAACACATTTTTAAGTTTAGCCTACATTATTAACATCTTCTTCAACTTTTTTTTTGGAGGAGGGGGAAATTGGGGTTAAGTGACTTGCCCAGGGTCACACAGCTAATAAGTGTCAAGTGTCTGGTCTGAGGTCAGGTTTGAATTCAGGTCATCGTGACTCCAGCGCTAGTGCTTTATCCATTGCACCACCTAGATGCCCCTCTTCATCACTTTCTTAAGCCTAAATAATCAACAAAACAAGCTCTCATTTGTAACATTTGCTGATTTCTGAAGTGTAAATATTCATGTTGAAAATTTAACAACCAGCTCTCACAAGCATGGGAGAGCTGGCTCCAGAACACCCCTGGGTCTAAGTGTTAGGAAGTCCCCCCTCCCCTTATATCAAACCTTAATCTGCCTCTTTTAAACTTATATGTAATGCTTTTAGTTCTGCCTTCTGGGGCTGTACCATAAATGAGACCTTACATACAATAGGCAACATAAATATGTGTTGAATTTTCAACCAATGAGTTTTCTCCCTCTTCCACCTGATAATTGTAGACATTTGTCATGTTTCCCACGCACTTCATTCCTGACCAATTTTCTCCAGTCTCAATATTCTAGGTTTCTTAACCCGATAGTCCTATGGCATTTTCTCCAGGTTCATCACCCAAAACTGGGGGAGGCAGTTAACATGTTTGAAGATGGAAACAGTACCCCAAAATATAATGACAGGCTAGAACATTTGGATGAATATAATTATATCACTTTAATAGGGCTCAGAAATATTGGGGAAGGCATGTCTAGGGGGTAATTCACCTGAAAAAAAAATCTGGTGCTTTGGTGGTCTACAAGCTCAATCTGAATCAACTACTGTTTTAATATTTTAATACTTTAGGGCTGTGTTGAATGCAGTCATCAGAAGGGGCTACCTTGACCTCACTGACCGCATGGTTGGACCAGGTCTTGTGATATATCTGGAAATTTGGGGGACCTGTTGCCCACTGTTCTGACCAAATGTTATTACTCTGCAGCTTTTGGCTATTTAGCAAATCAACCTAACTCCTCCCAGTTGCTGCCCCACACCAGCACTCCTCCCCATAGACCTGCATGTAAGCCCAGCCCCTACTGGGCACTCCTGTACTCTGGTGCAGTGTGGTATCCAGAATTGCAATTCTCTTGCCTTGATTAAAGACTCTTCAGTACTCCTCTTTATTTATGGTTGACAGTTACGTGAATACACTGATAAGGATACTCCCTTCAGTGTTATAAATCAGTGGGGTCAAATTCAAATAGAAATCAATCCCTGTGGGCTGCACATTGACTTAGAAAAACCACAAATGAACGTCATCTATGTTTTACTGTCTTCTTATTTATTTTGTTATTCTCAATTACATTTTAATCTGGTGCAGGCCTCAGCTCTGGAGTTTTGCAACCATGACAGGAGTTTGACATTTCTGGGGGGAGTATCATATCCCAGATGCACTTTGTTTTCCGGCTTGCACATTGTCTGTGTTCTTGAACAAATCCTCCATGAGGGGGCCACCCAATGAGCTGAAGTCCTTTCTCTAGACTGGAGGAAGTGTTCTTTCCACCACACCATGCTGTTTCCCTACAAGCTCTAGTCTGGTGTCCATCGAGACAAGTACTTTTTCCTAAATAAATTCCTTTGCTATAAATAGGCCTAGTAAAGAAATCTCAAAAGGAAACAATGTGAATATATCACTTTTAAAGTCCACAAGTTGAACCTGAGCTCAGTTTATATAAGTACTATATGGGTACACACACATACACACACACACACACACACACACACATATTTAAAGATTGCAATATTAAAGCCTGCTATGCATTTAAAAATGCTTAGAGCTCTGACACTATGATGGATGAGTCCCCTTCCCCCCTGCTTTCTGTGCCTCACTTTATACATTTGCCAAATGAGGAACTGAACTAGATGACCTCTAAGGTCCCTTCCAGTTCTAAATTCTATGATTCTAGAAACATTAGAAATTAACTAGTCAAATCTCCTCCTTTGATGGAGGAAAAAATTGAATCTTAGAGGGTTTAAATGCATTGCCCAGGGTCACACAGTTAGTGGTAGAACTGAGACTTTAACCTAGGTCCATTGTTCTTTCCTTCTGACTGCACAGTCCCCATTATTTCTAGTTGCATATACCTAACAATAGGGCAGATAGGTGACACAGTGGATGTAGCTGGGGCCTGGATTATGGAAGAACTGAGTTTAAATCCAGCCTTCGCTGCTTACTAGCTGTGGGACCTTGGACAAATCGCTTAAGCCTGTTTGCCTCAGTTTCTTCATCTGTCAAATAAGTTGGAGAAGGAAAAAGCAAACCGCTCGAGTTATCTTTGCCGAGACACCCCAAACACGGTCACAAAGAGTCAGACAGGACTGAAATGACTGATCAACAACAACAAATACCAATTCAGTCTATTTATCCAGCGTAATCTCTCTCTTGAATGCCGGTCCGGCAAGTTCAATTACTTTTTGTACATTTCCATCTTCATTGGCGACTCAAGCTCAACCCATCCACGAGGAAAATTATCATCTTTTCCCCTACCTCCAGTTTTCTACCTAACTCTTCTGTGGCTGCTGAGGGTACTAACATGGGGAGGAGTGGAGGAGAATGTTTGAATCCTCACTCTGCTTGTATTATGCTACATGCATGGCCTGGGGCAAGTTGCTTCATTTCTTTGGATATCAAATTCCTCTTCTATAAAATGAAGCTGCGGAGTCCTTTCTTTCTTTCCTTTACTTCAACCCCCCCCCCCCCAGTTCCTCTTGTGTATAAACAAACAAATGAAAACCAAACAACAACAATAAAAACCAGTTCTTGCCCTCAAGGAGCTCACAGTCTAATGGAATAGACAACAGAAAAACAGCTAAGCACAAGCAAGACACATACAGGATAAATTGGGGGTAGTCTCAAAGGGAAGGAGCTAAGATTAAGGAGGACAGGAAAAGGCCTCTTTCAGAAAGTAAGACTTCAGCTGAGACTTGAAAGAAGCTGGGGAGTCCAGTAGGCAAAGATGAGAAGGGAGAAAATTCCAGGTCTGGAGAAGCGCCAAGTGAGATGATGTGTCTTGTCCTCAGGTCAGCTAGCAGGCCACGGTCACTGGATCAGACTATGGGAAGGGGAGTAAGGAATAAGAGGACTAGACAGGTAAGAAGGGGGCAGATTATGAAGATCTTTAAAAGCCAAACAGAGGATTTTATATTTGATCCAGGAGACGACAGAGAGCCAGCGGAAAGGAATTCATTGAATAGGGGTGTCACTTAATGAGATTCCTGCTTTAGGAAGATGAATTCGATAGCTGAGGAAACTGAGACTCAGAAGGATTAAGTAAATTCTTTAGATTAAGTGAATTTTTCATAGTCACTCAGCAACGAAGTGTAAGAGACAGTATTTGAACCCAGGTCTTCCTAACTCCAAGTCTAACACTCTATCCGTTATACCAGGTGTTCCCAATCTTTTTCTGTTGCTCTACTCCTTGGCTTTCAGTAAACCTTCCCTCTGTTCAATATGAAAGGAAATAAATTCTATAGCTCACTATGCACATGCACAGCCTTTATTTTATCAGTATATTGCTCAGCTATTAAAACTGTGAAAAGCCCCTTTGGATCGCAGGGCTACTGGTGACTTCCTTCAAAGTAGGACCTGGCTTTTCATCCCCACCCTGAATGGGCCACTGACCTGCTGCCAGGAAGCCTCTTTGCAATAACAAAGGAATGGATGATTCAGCAGTCACAGGAAAGCCTCCCCTGATTCCACAGCTGCCAATCTGTCGATTTCCATGTGCTCTGGGATGCCTGCACATTAGGGGAGTTTCCAACATTGTTTTGATTCCTTTTCCTGACCCTTTCTCTTGACCAGCCCTTTCTCCCAGAAAATGTCA